TAAGAATCAGTTTGATGCTCACCTTCTGTATCTATGCTATTATTTTTATCCAACTTTGGTGAATCGATAAAATGTGTGGTTAATTTATTAATGACTTGATTACGCATTTCTTTTGACAGCATTTTCTTTAATGGAAAGAGGTTTAGAGTGGGCGATGCACTTACCTCAATATTTGATATGTCTTTTGAGCTAGATGGCTTGGTCACGTGCGCGTGAACATTGTTCACGCTGATCACTTTTATTATATTTTGGACTTGTGTATCAGTTAGCCTAGAAATAGCATCAGCACTATACGTAACTTGCTTGATTTTATCTATTCCTATTTCTTTGAATAATGTATAAATATTTCTGGCCTTTTGAGTTTTCTTACGCAAATACTCTCTCTTGATGCCAGGAAGAAATGGTTCCATTTCATTATAAATCTGTGTTCTTGCCATTTGATCATTAAGTTCGCTTTTTAAGCTAATGTCTCTAACCTTTTTTTCGAATTCCTCACTATAATGATACCAACGTAAAATTTCTTTTTGACCAATTTTTTTAGCCTTGTCGAATAAATGGGCCAAATGTGATGCAGAACCCGGTGCTGAATTATCGCCATCTAGCATATTTTCAAGAATTTGTTTATTAGATATGGAATTCGAAAGGCTTTTCTCATTAGTAAATGTAGATAACTCATATATTAAACCTTGTTCAACCTTTTGATTATAGGGAATTTTTACTTCAGAAGAAACGGTACTTTGTGTTTGACTAATAGGTTCTTCTGAAATATTCTGATCGATTTTGGATGAAAAATCCTTACATACCGAATCCAGAAAATCGTCGACCATTTTATCTTCCAGAGATTTAGGTTCTGTGTAGGTAGGAGGTAAAGGAGATCAACTATCTTTTTCCTGGTATATATGAACCTTTTCTACCTTTTCAGTAATATCAGAATTTGAAGCATTATTAGGAGCATTGATACCGAGAGTGTTTACAGAGTGGCTAGAAATTGGGGCATTATGTGTTTTAACACTAGCTCCACTATTGATATCAAACGCAGGTGTATCAACGAAATTTTTCATTTCGGTAAGTGTGGTATTAGATACAGAGTATCCCGCTTCACAGACCGAAGAATTTTTAATCTCCTTAATTTCATCATCTATCTTTGCCATATGAATGGTCTTTTCATTATCTTTTCGCTCGAGATTTACAAACCTAGCTTCATAATCTTTTAAAGTTTGTTCTAATTCCATAATTCTAGCTATAAAACCCGCTTCCTTGGCCAAGAATTCAGCCTTTTCTCTTTTTAATTCCGTGATCTCAGCTACAAGTTTCAAATTTTGTTCTTCTAATAAATCATCTTTAGAATGTGTATTTGCCATTTTTTTATATAAAATATGTATATATTCAATTAATCAAAAATGTTTGTGCGCGTGAACGTTGTTCACGCCGATCACTTTTGCCAAGAAAATTCTCGATCATATTGCGAGTCAATATATATCGATATCAATAAAATAGATTCATGAAATATACACGCAAAAGTAAACTGATTATTTATGTAAAATATACCACCAGGGCCAGCTTTATTGATAGAAAATTATATACAATGGATAATATAAGGAATGGCAAGAGTAGGTGCGTTATATAAAGAATGACAAGGGTAGGGATATATATAACGAAATTAGTGGTTAGATATCATGGGCAGACATTCGTTTGATTGGCTGATGTAGATCAATTGCCCGGGTAACTTATTTATACACTTTAAAGTACTT